TCAATCTCCCCAGCCTGAAACCTAGCTCCCAAGCCAGCTAGTCACAACACCGTGAATTCCTCAGGGAGGTGCCAGCCTCATCCTCTTGAACTTCCCATGCTCCTCTGGTGAACTAAGAACACACTTATCTCCCTGAGCCTGGCCTTCATAATTCCTTCCATCACATCACCTCACATACCCACTCTAGATGGGGCTGCCTTTGAAGGTGACTCAGAAGTTTCAGCTAGTCGAAAATGCTGTATACATTTGCAGGAAGTACCAGATTTACCAATGTTACAACTATGCTACATCGGCTGACAATTTGCTTCAGGGTCCAATTAAAATTGCTGCTGATTATCTTTAAAGCTCTACAGTGCATCTGGGTACCTTCAGGACCATCCTTCTCAGCTAGATTGGGCCTACCCTATGCATGCCGAGATAGAATATGTTGAGGGTTCCTATCTCATGAGATAACGGTGGTGGGATCTTGTCAGCATGACTCAGTTGCTTTCCCAACTCTCTGGAACACGCTGCTTCCAAAGATACACAACGCTCTTGACCTCCTGGCCTTTAAAAAATTGTTGAAGACCTACAGAGCATTTGGGCACTGATGATGTAAGGGCTGCCCACGTGATTAGATATACTGTTGTTTTTTAACAGTATTATTTATTTTGTTTTTGTTTATAAACTGCTTAGTCTACAGAAGCAGGCAGTGTATAAATGTATGAATAAATAAATTTTACCCATTACTTTTTGATCAGCATCTTAAAAGCCCTCCATCCATTTTCTCATGTTAAATATTCTACCAAGATACACAAATTAATTTTCTTTTTGTTGATGTGTTCATTGAGGTATGATATTCCATCTTTATATCTATTTTCCTGTATTTTCTTTCATTTGTTAATTCATACTCTTTACCATTTACTCAGCTTACATTCTAAGTTCCAATCCTTCATTTGCCATGAATAGAGCCATAAACTGCTGTTGCCCATCATATCGTTGACCAAGTGAGGCTTTCATGTAGTGTTTTTAATGATATTATGAACTGAGTCATAAGCCTTAGTCATACATGCCACATGTACATTCCTTGCTAATGGTAAGGACAGCAGGGCTGTGATGATCCACATTTAAAGGGAAAAGTGTGATTTGGAGCATACGTGGGTAAATGTGTTGCACCTGTCTTTAATCAAATGTGTTTTTTCCTGGGATTGTGCATACGAATGACCTCTGGGATGAATCTGAAGCGGCAGCCACCAGCTGTTTCCATGCTAGAGATAAGTATTAAATAAGCATGTTTGAAATCACCAAAGTCTGCCAATATTAATTTGGTAAGGCATGAGGAAAAAAACTAGAGTTTAAACTCTGAACCCAGAGCTATATAGAGGTTATGTTTTATTTGCACTGTAGATAATAAATCGTCTATGTGGCTTAATTCTTGTTTGCAATAATTTATCCAAGTTACATTTGCTACATTAGACTTTTTATTAGAGTCTTCTGTTGAGAAAGCCTATTCCTGATTAAGTGTCTCTGGTATGAAGACTGGCATATCAGCTTCTTTAAGGAGTTGCTGATAAGCAAGACGCGCATCCTCACACGTGCTTCTCCTTTGAATCCAAATTGCTGCTCAGCCCTAAACACCAGTATGAGTCAGTTTTGGCACATTTGGGCTAGTATGCCTCAAGCAAAATCAGAGTCTACTTTTACCCCACATGTGTTGATGCTATTCTACGCAAAGGACAAGCTATTTTGCAAGCTAATGTACAGTTCACTATATCCCACCTATGAGATGCATGCAGTTTCTTGGCACACTTGTTATAAATTCAAAAACTGGCAATGAGCCAAGCTTTCCTAATCATGCAAAACAAGATGTGAACGGGCACTCTCAATAAGCCATTAACTGGCACTTTAATTCACTCTCCACTAGGAAATAGTTGCAAGCACTGTGAATTAATCATCTTTCCATTTGAAGCCTTGAAGGCATTTGCACAATGGAAGCAATGCCTATGCAGTATTCTCTAGATACAGACTTTCAAATTACTCTTTAGGAAAATTATTTAGGTTAGGATATAGTAACCATTTTGCTGGAGGGAAGTAATTTAAATGTTGGAGTCAGAGGTTAAACAATAGTGTTTTTTCCCTATAATTATTTTCAGAATTTGCCAGTATTGACCTTTGTGTTTTCAAACTGGCTATAGTTCTTTGCTGGTTCTTGCAAACTTTCACTTGTTGTCCCATAATTAATAAATATTAATATTTTAAATCTAGATAATAAGATAGGGAATATTTTAAGCTGCCCAATAAAAATGATATCAAAATAGCCAATAGTGAGTTAACTATAGTTTAATATAGCAATGTCATTTGTATTTATCTCAGACAGAATGTCAGTAAATTTAATCACATACCAGCCAGTTTTAGTGATTCCATACTCATACCTGAATGATCAAGATAGCAATCTTTTGTCTGGATTACTTACCTGAAATTGTGCAAATTTCACTTAGGATATAGACTTAGGATTCTGCCATTAAAACAAACACACACACACACACACACACACATGTAAATGATCCACAACCACATATATTTATGAGACTATCTGACAGTCAGAAAAATTACATTTGGTTGGCTGGGAATTACAGATCAAAGACATTAATGAGAAGAGACATTCAAAATAAATAGGCAGGGTATAGTTATACCAACTAAACACTGGGAATGAATTTTTGATCATGATATAACACACACAGTAAATCAAATCTTTGTCCTAACAAGACAGAAAAATAAGGACTGAATTATTAGCTACCTTTACGTAGCCAGGAAAAAGGAAAGTTTAAATTTGCAGTATAATTTCTAGAGGGATTTGGAGAAAAAAAGGCATACTCAAAAGTGCACAATAATGTGAAAATATTATGAACCTAAAGACACATTGTTCTCATGCTAATTCCTCATAAAGTTACTTGCTGGTTTCAATACCATTACTCCCAGCCAAAATTTAAGTACTGCAACTTTAATTCTTTCAAGATGAATAGTGTTGGGACTTTTGGTTTGAGATGAATTATAATTCAAGCCAACTGGCACTTCTTTCTAAACACATTTATTTGGCATTATGTCCCTTTAACATAATTGAATTATGTTTCCAAAGCACATTGAGGACTATGATACAAATCAATATGAATTCAGAATAATTTAAACCGAGAGCCATATTAGATAACTTGTGTTCGTGTGCCTTCGAGTCAGTATTGAGTCCTAGTGACTGCCTGGACTAGCCCCTGCAGTTTTCTTGGCAAGGTTTCAGAAGTGGTTTGCCATTGCTTCCTTCCTAGGGCTAAGAGAGAGTGACTGGCCCAAGGTCACCCTGTTGGCTTCACGTCCAGCAGTGCCATTTCAAATTTGCTATCAGATCTTATTAATCGACTGAGCATCAGCAACTGTAAACTCCAGTAAATGTGCTTATATTTCATGAATGCTGTTTTTACTGTGAAGGGTCATGATTGCCCACCCATCCTTTAGATAAAATGGTAGTTTAACCAATGGTTTAATTAAGATGGCGACTAGTTTCAATATCAAAATATAGTTGCATAAGGTCTACATATCTTATTTTAAACTTTTTTAATTTTAATTACATGGATACATTGGATTTATAATACAAAATATTTTGTACTGTGAAATATTGTTTTGTTTGCGGTAAAAAAAACTTCCATTGGATTCATTTTTTCTTCACTCTTGGCTCTGAAGTACTTCTCTTGTTCTGATGATAATACAAAAGTACATCTTCCTAGTAACTGCTTAGAGAGGCATTTGTCTAAGGAGATGAGGTTCAAATAGCTGCTTCTGTACACTTTGAGAAGCTTTCAAGGCCGAATGGCTGTATAGCAAAATGTTGTAAAACAGTATTTTAAGAATAAAAATATTTTAGTTACAATAATGACTTTTATTCATCTCATGACAAAATGTTTCTGTTAATTTCTACATACATTGGGAGATATTGAACAGGGCATATTTACTTCTGGGGGAAAAAAAACGTTAAGGTTACCATCCTATCATTCTCACAAGAGTATCCCCCAGGCCTTGAAAGAGTTAAAGGACTTCTCTCTTTGAGGAAGATCCAGTCAGAGATTATCCTTTCCACACTTTTGAGCAAACCATAAGAACAGCTTTCCCAATTAAAAAAGGCTAGAGAAATAAAATTACATCTTGATTTGTCTTAAATAATACAAAATGTATTCAATGTTAGAATTTTATCATACAATTATTAACTAAAAAACAGCTTCAAAAATATACTACAGGTAGTCCTTGACCTACGACAGCAATTGGGACTGAAAATGCTGTCGCTAAATGACGTGGTTGTAAAGTGCGACATCATGTGACTGTGCCACTTAGCAACAGAAATTCCGGCAGTCCTGGTTGCTGTCATTAATTGAGGACTGCACAGATCATTAAGCGAAGACCTCATGTAACTGCAACGTCTTACTTCCTGCTGGTGTCCCCACTGACTTTGCTTGTGGGAAGCCAGCAGGGAACATTGGAAATCACAATCACGTGACTACAGCTCACTGCAACATTGTAATCATGAGCTGAGCACACAGATCACGATCATGTGACCGCAGGGGTGCTGCAATGGCTGGAAGTACCATTCATTCAGTGCTGTTGTGACTATGAATGGTCGCTGAATGAATGGTCGTAACCTGAGGACTACCAAGATCAATCAAAAATAGGTTTTGTACACCATTGCAATATATAAGAAGGTGAAATATATATATCTTCCTGTATATCGCAGTAGTATACAGAGCCTCTTTTTTGATACTGTAAGAACAATTCTTATTTCTAAAGTTGTTCCATTTCTTACACACTCTGAGGTTCAGCACAAGAATTATAATGAGGCGATCCAGTACAATTCAGTTCCTTTATTAGCTCATACATAATAGACAGAATCTTGCCAGATTAAACCTATCCACAGTTACTAGTGAATATACCCCGTGAGACTCTAGGGAGGGGCCAGCCTCATCCTCTTCATTTTCCCACAGTCTTGTTGCGGGCTGAGGAGGTGCTTGCCCTGGAATGTCTCTCCCCCCTCCTAACAACCTTGAAGTTCAATTCCAGAATCTTCCCCCCTCATGCCATCCATTACACACACATACCCACACACATAGCCAAGGACTGTGCAAAGCATTTATAAGAGCTGTTTTGCAAAACTATGCAAGCAAAGCATTAAATTAGCTGCATTCTTTGAAAGGCTTGCAAGTGGTTATACTGTGCCTCCCTGGTTCACTGTGCCTCCCTACCCTTTCATCCCACAGGTGATTCCAACAGAAACAAACCCAAATGCAGGTGGATAACTAGAGATTTCAAAGCAGCTGAGTGAGCCCTCCAATGCTTTTGCTTGCGCATGCTGGCACACTTTGTAAAGCAACTTTTTGAATGCTTTCCATACAAATACATACATACATATGAAGTGTGCACTGTTTTTAATATTGTTTTAAAACAAAAACTATTTTCAATTTCAAAATGTACCAAATTTCACTAGTTATTTAACACAATGATATGTAGTTTAAGTTGGATTCCAGTGGTATTTCACAGGAAACATACCTGATTTTTTCACTATTTCTGTTTTCTTCATATACTGTCGGCTGGGATTCTTTATTATGAGGAGGTTTGTGTATTTCAGACGAAATAGCAAAATTTGCTTTTTCTCTGGAGACTGGGAAGTGGAAAATAGGAAAATGTAGATGTTCCGCATCATTATCATCTAGGGGATGTAAAGATACAAAAGCATTTATTATTCATTTTCTCCCAAAGTATTATACAAAATAATTAACATGAGGGCACATGCAAATCTTAGTAAACTGTAACAATATACATTTATAGGTGGTATATGAAAGTAGAGTTTAAAAAATGTTCTCTTATAAACATCACTGATCTGCATGTTTTATGTCACAAGGTCCCTGAGAATTTTATCCCAGCAGGATCATCAGTAAAACTGGAAGAAGCAGAAAAACAGGAGACAGGAAAAAGAAAGGCTTTGTTACTGATTTTCTCAGTTAAATTGTTAAAACTGACATGAATTGGTAAGTCAGGAAAAAAACTAATAAAAAACCGCATTCATGCAATAACTGAATTTATGACTCTCCACCAGTGGGAATATTATTTAAAAGCATGCAACCATACTCCATACACTTTTAAAATACCACATATATTTATTTCAAAATGTTTTAATAAAGGCTTTTAAGCTATTCATTCATCTTTATACTATTATTAAACTATTGGGAAATAATGTTTTTACTCTACATTAAAGCATTCTGCAAATGTTCAAAACATTGTCTCGTTGTGACAATTTCACCTGAGCTAATTCTTCTCTTAATGTTGATGCTGTAATTGATTAAGAAGATATAGTTTTTTTACCCAAATGTGAATACGATGCATGCTCATTAATGAAGCTTTCTGCTTTGTTTTTCTTCCTGGCATCTCTAGATGCTTTCCAATTCATCAGGAACTGTCTTTCCATTTCTTTTATTTCTTTTCCATCCAGCAATTCTGAGGGAATGTTGTAATGTGTAAATCAACAAACAGCTTTATATTCTTAGGAAGGCAATAGAGCATTTTTTGTTGCAGAAGATATTGCTAATTTTCTATCAGTGTTATTAAACCTGAAACACCACCAAATTGTTGACCATTGGGCTTTAATTCTACTGTATGAGTATGTATGAGCTGGACAGCTGACAGGTAGATTGTTAGAGCACAATTGTGAAAAGGATAGATAGACCTGTAAAATTGGTATAGTTGCTACAGTAACAAAAAAGACAGACAAGTAAAACAGAATCTTTCTACTGCTCATTGGACTGATATCTATAATTACTATGCAGGGTCAATGAAATTGATAGCTGCTATATACACAAAGACCCTAACAATAAGTTTTATATGATATAGTTTTAGTTATATAATCCAATTTTTCAATAATATAGCATTAATGGAAAGGAAGATGATCCCGAATTTAAGATATTAAAAACAAATGCAGACAAAAGTCTTTGCAGTGTCAAGCAACTGTCAAGCTAGAATTATCAACTTCAGTCTGAAGATTTTCTCCCAATACACATACAATTAATGTAAGTAACATGCTTGCATATACATAGGCAATTCTCTCTCTCTCAGTATGTATGTGTTATATGCTTGCCAGAAGCCATACTCCAAGGATAAAGCCATAACGAAAAATGCATTATTTATTGAATTAATAACTATTTGCTTTTAAAATACAATATCAAATTTATAAAATTAACTAATCTTACACATAGAAATACACAATACACCCCTATTCCTTGCTGTATGTCTAGCAGAAACACAATAAAGGGGGAAAAATGATGGTGATGAGAAAGAAAGAGGGCAAAGAAAGAGGAAAAGAGGAGGAATGAAATTGGATGCAAATGAGGTAAGGGAAAGAAGTGGAAGTAGAAGAAAAAAAGGAGTTACAAAAGGGTTATATTCAATAGGCAACCTTCTCAAGTAAAGCAACAATACTTTGAAGCACAGAAGTTTTCATCCATTGGTACCTTATGCTAATAAGGGTTCACAGCTTCTATTCTTATCAGTATTGTAAGGATGTAGTTCTCCCCAATCATTTTGAAACAAAAATTTGTCTTCCTAAAATTCAACGTATTTGCTAATTCATCTTCTGACACATTATAAAATATACTAATTCTACTCATTATTTATAATCTTAAAAACAGCTTTAGTTATACAAATTGTACAAATAAATGAAAATATGAGCTGATGGAGCAATTATGTTAGCAACATTCACTGCTGGTAGATATCATTATTTATCTGATTTATATCCTGCCTTTGTTCAGGAGATCAAGGCAGCATATATAGCATCCTTCCTTCCATTTTTCCTACAACAACCACTCTGTAATATAGATTGGGTTGAGAGGAAGTAAATGGCTCAAAGTCGTCCAGCAAGGTTCTCAGTTATGCTGATCACCAGGAGGCAGTACATTTGACCAGGAATCATCAGACTTAGATAGCCAGATCTTATTCTAGGGGATTCAAACACCACTCTACTGGGAACTGAACTCATGGATCACTACACTTTAGAGTACTATATACATTGCATTAGGTTTAGAAGCCACTCAGATCCTATACAGTCCACCTTCCCTTGAGTTCTCAGACAGATACAGATGTTACCTTATGTCATGCTCCTGTATACAAGGTTTTACATTACTTACAACCACCCCTTTCTCTATTTTTAAACAATGTATATCCTGTGTGGTGTTTCAGTTACATTAAACACCAGGAGGTAGTACATTTAACTGGTTTCATCCATATTAGGACTCTAATAAGGAATTATTACTGAGAATTTTATTAGGTTCTATATCTGAGGGAAGATTTCAAACTGTGTCTCAATGGTGCTGTCCAATGTTAATGATCAGAACATACTGGCTCTCACAAACAGATAATTTGTGTAAAGCCCTCAGGAAATGCCTTTTTCCATTAACATATCCGAGACTTAGAACAGCCTTCCAAGGGAATTTTGTCTCACATTCAGTGGGAGCTTTTTGGCATTTAATTTTTAATGCACCCCCCCCATGTTGTCGCTATATACGTAGCTTTAATGTTACACTAAAGATCCTCAACCCTTTTGGCTAGTGATCACTTTGGGATGATGAAAGTATATTGTGAATCCATAGATTTGCACATTCACAAATATTCTCCTGTTGCAAAATAAAGGTTAGTGTAATATACCAAGGAAGGTATCACTGATGCCTGTGATAACTATGTTGGACACCCTATTGTAACACATTTTTAAATTATTGTGCTTTTGGTTTTATGATTATGTTTTAATTCTAGTTTTATTCCAGAGTTGCACACAGTAGAACTCTCTGAGGAAAGAAGATTGGGGAGACAAGTTTGGCCAATTCTTCTTCCTTAAAGACCCCTAAATCTGGTTTTCGAAGGACCTTCTAAAACTGGCTCTGCTTTGATCCTGGTCCCATGTATGAAGAGGTGTTTCATTTTATGGAAGATCAACTGGATTAACTTCCTTGATTTTAAGCTATAGTGGTTTTATCAAAGTGCAGGATGTACAATAATATATAACTTTCAGATAATTTTAAAGACATGTCTGATAATAGGACAGCTACATAGTTTGTACAACAGCTAATAAGCATGGAATAAAATGAAATTGCTTCTGTTCTTCTAGCTTGGACGGCCATGGGAAGCAGAGCTGAGTGCAAGTGGGCTTGGATGGCTTCAATGGGGGAAAGTGCTGGGAAGCAGATTCACAGGAAAACAATGGAATTTGACTCTGGGGTAATGCACTTGACTCCCAGGCTATAGCTTATGCACCTATGGTTTACTATATCAATACATCTGAAATGAAAGAAGAGCAATCTCTAAAGTTTACCAAGAGATTTTGACTGCAGTATTACTTTGTCTCGGTATTTTGGCTTATGACAAACAGGATTCCCATTCAGCTCTATTTTGTATAACTTAGTCCATATACTCAGAACAAATTCCAAGTCCTGCAAATAACAAAGAAAAACATAATTTATCTAGCCCAAATACTACATAACTTAATTATAAATCTTTCTTTAATTAGTTGCAAAATGCCCCATTTATTCCAATTGATATTACATTTAACAAGATCAAATATTCATGTAGTTAAAAAAATACATGTTTTACCCACAATATTCAGAAATTATATTTTGATAGTTATTTTACTTATTCATAACTGTAATCTAGTTTTTGAGTTTTTACTTTCTAATGAAAATTTAAATATAAATGTAAACCAAAAAACCCACAAAAATTAATAGCACTGTTCTCTGGCCCTATAAGTCTTGCAAATATATGTTTGTAAATACTGACAGTTAATAGCTTTTAATATAGGAAAACTATCCCCTTTGTTTCTATCTTTACAAATTTAGCCAAGCCTTTGGGACAGAGCCTTTGTTAAATGCATTATAATAGTATCATCCTCATCCTCATTATATATTTGATTTAAAAATGCACTTCAAGAATTAATTCAATTAAAGATTATTTTGAAAATTCAAAACAATATATATTGCTTGGAATTCTAAAAACCATTTCACTTTGAAGAATATACAGAATTTTTAGATTTTCGTTAACTACAGCTCAGTTGATAAATTATTCAGGACATGCTCACTCTAGTTTATATCTATCTAAGAATGCACTTATCCCATGCTGAGATATTACCCTTTGGATATGCTCTACTTGTTCACTGTCTTCCTGACTCTAATAAAGTGCTTTCACTTTACACCCTTTCAATAAGCTATACTAAAGGGACTAGACACTTTTTTGGGCAGTCTCTATTTGATAAATGATCATGTCATGTTATCACTTAGAGGTCTGCTACAAAATACTAAAGAGCAAATTCTATTCTAGGCACATGATGGTGGGGTGGGGGTAAAAGCCTCAGATGTCATCCATAGCACAAACTATAGCCTTCTTCCCAATTAGTGATGGTCATTTAAAAACCTGCATTTGACCAGTGCACTCCAATTTTTATTGGCTATGTCTAGCTCAAATAGCTTAACTACATCTGCAGATAGCAATTTGTCATCATTCTGACGGTCTGTCATTATCTCTTTCAGAAAATCTATATATTTTTTCTTGTACCTGACTGAATTGTGAAGTGAAGGAATCCATCTTTTTGATATCTAGTGTCATAATCAATAATGGCAAAGGTTGAATACATTAAAGATTTACAACCAAATCTTCAAAACACCAAACCAGCATAAGCCTTCCTAAATAAATACGATTTGTGTTGCTGGAGATATTTTAAGATAACCTTGACTTATGAGCCATAGGTAGACAACTTCCAAATGCCTATGGCATGTAATTACTTTCATCCAGTCCTCTGGTGCCATGATGTAATAATACATGACATCACACACCACACATGACATCATTGTAAATGGAATTAAGAAGAAATTAAAACATAAAGAAATGGAACCTTTCTCCAAACATTACAAAAAATGACACTTCTTAAAAAATTCACTTAAGTAGACACCATCATCCCCCAAACTGTACAGTTTGACTTAACAGTAATGACAAACTTTGCTACTGGATTTTAGCAATAAATTGTGATTCTGAAATCTGTGATGATAAGGAGGAGCTAAGTGCATCAGTCCATCAGTGCTCAGACTAGGACCCACAATTCACTGCATAAAGAGAAAACATTCTATTATGCATAGATGCATGCCAGTTCCATATGCATATTTTTCTTTTTACTCAAGAATAAAGGAAATCTTTGCCCACTTTGGTTTGACATAAGCAGCTAACATTTTGAGTTATAGCAAATGTATTTAGATGTAATTTTCAAAGCCTACAGAATTAGCAAGAACATTTATTGCTTTAAAACACCTCCAAGACAAGCCAGAAATGAAAAACAATTTGGGAAACAAAAATATACTTTCTGTTCAAAGTCAATTTGAACAAATTAGTTTTAGTCCAATTTGTTTGAAGTTTTATAACTTTTTTGTTCCTCTTAGTTATAAATTTAAGAGCTTAATTTTATGCACAAAGTTAAAATTAGTATCTATTCATTTCAATGAAAATTTACTGACTCGAATTCACTCGATTATTGAAAAAAAAAAGCTGAATAGGGGGATTTAAATTAATCTCTTCCTCTTCCAGTATGTTATCAGTGCTGTCAAAGTAGATAGCCTTAATTATCTGTTTGGCAGCTGTCTGTAATTAGCACAGAATTGTCATATGAGGATTTCCCTCTTGGTAGCAACTTTTAATAACTATAGAACACAATATAGTACTATTATCTGGTTCAGTCTTCAGTATCCTAAAGAAGCTAACAAGATAACTCTGGGAAGCCCAGAAGCACTACATGAAGACAATAGCCCTCCTCCAACAGGCATTCTCCAGTAATTGGCATTTTACAGGCTTTTCTAATCTATGAGGTAATAGATGATTACAATGTACAGAGTTATCTTGTTTACAATGTTCTATTGTCTATGCATTATGGGTCTTTTTTCAAATTTTCTTTGCTAGAAATCTCTATGATCCAAATGTATTATTTTAAGTTATTGGATTTATCACTGAGTGCTTAAGCCACCCTCCAATAAAATTACTGCACATTATTATGACAACTTTACTAGCCTCATCTGCCATTAACCTGTCTAATGCTCTGAAATTCATAAATTTGTAGATAAAAACTTGTGCCATAAAAAGAGACGATGATTGAGTAGATGACAGAAAAGGCCATAAGAATAATAAATTATTTCCAAACAATAATTTCGACCATTGGCAAATTACTGAGATAATTAATACTCAATTTCATTTATGAAACTTATCAGTTTGCATTACTTTTACTACCTTTATTTGGTGAAGTTGGTTGTCAACTGCTATAAGGTGGGAGATATTTTCCAGAATTGATAAGTCACTTAGTTCATCAATATTATTATTGCTGATATTCAAAACTGATAAAGACTTCTGTAATGAAACAAATCAAATACTTACCCAAACACAAAACCAATATTTAGATGCAGCAACTGTATGCAGTTAACTTGAGAGAAAACCTGATTGAACAGTGAAATTTTCATAAGCGTACAAAACATTAAACTGTACCAAACAAAAACATCTCTAATTAGCATCTTGTTTTGAAATAATCTTGAAACTCATAGTTAATAACTTGGTAAAACAGTAGAAGTAAATAACCATTCAAAGTCTGTTAAAAATCCATACAATTCAAACATAAACCAATGTACAATCCATTCCCAACTTTTTTATGTAACCTATTTTGCAGTGCATGGTAAGGGGAAGAAAGTGCTGACTTTCAATTCTTAGAAAGGAAGTTAGGCAAAGTAATATCTAAACACTTTGGCTCAGTTAAGTCTCAGAAAAAATACCAGTAACACAAAATATAATAGGAATAACTTTTTAAATAAAAAATATTATCAGTATCTTCCAATTATCAGTATATCGTGTGAAAAGTTGTAAGAGATGGCAATTTCTATTTTTCCCAATAACTGACTGTTCTGCTGATCAGTCTCCAAAGAAAAGTGACTATATTGTATAAGAATTAACATATTATGGTATTCATATTATACACCTGTGGAGGCTGTGGCATTTTGTTTCTTGAAAGGAAAATCTTAAGTATACAAGACAAACTGATTTTGAAACACAAGGGCATTTAAGGTGCAGTATGGCATTAGAGGAGAGTTCTTCTTAGATATTCCACAGAAGCTTTAGGGTATGGGTCAAAAGAAATTTGTTGAATCCAAAGCAGTATGTTTTTACAGCGTGGACATAGTAAATTCTCCAAGCTTTGTAATCCATATATGTCTACATTATTAGCTACTTGTTCATCAACACAATGGTTGTGATAGAATGAAACCATGAAAAAAAAACTTCTCACAATCAATTTACAATTCTTTGCTGTCAGGTTGATTGGGTCAAATCATATCTGCCGCAGGCAGGTACTGTACTGAAAATAAAAGCAATCAGAAAAAGCAGACAAATGAGTATTCATGGGATAAAGGTGATAATTTGGGGACAAGAAAGATGGTTAAAATTATTTAAGATAGGTTTTGTAGAAGATTAGTTTTCAAATATATATGCTAATAGTATGTTATTCATAAAGCTGCAGTCACGTAGGAAAGTGCTAAAAATGTTAAAATATTCTGCATTCCATATATTATTTATATAATCGTTTCTTCTGAATAGAGAAAGTATAATAAGGCTTTGTTATTCAAACTGTGAAATAATTATAGTATATGATTACCAGATTACTAAGCAAAATATTTTTAGAATTTACTACTGTTGGTTAATATGTTTTTAAAATATTTTAAATGAAACAAATGACACATTAACCTGATTTATGCTATATGGGGATAAGCACTCAATAGAAGCTTTTAACTGTTCCTAACAATTAATGTCTGTCACCAAATGACTTTCAGGTACAGTGTTCTTACTGATAATGAATGAAGACTTCTTGGATCAAACAAGAGTTTTTCTCCTAAGGGAAGCTGCTGGCTTTCAATATGCAATTCTCTCAGTTCCTCTAAAGTTTCCAAGCCTTCCACTACAGTGATGTAGTTACCGCCCAAATACCTGGAAATAAAACAAAATGGAAAGGTCTTTCATTTTACAATTTCTTTTTAAAATACATATTTTCTAGAACATAAAAAATTAATGATCTCATTGAATTATAATCTAACTCTTTGAATTTGGAAATAAATTCAATAAAACATAACAGATTGTACCAATAACCAAATAAAAATTCATTAATTTCTATAGGAGAAAAATGTGATTAACTCATACCTTATATGTTAAAGTCTACCTTGCTTGGGTCTTTGAGCACAGAGTTTGTTTGAAGCCTGTACAATATATTATCAGATATGAAATATATATTTATTCCATTTTATTTAATATTTTTAAATTTAGATTATTACTGTCAGGTTCAGCCCAAGAATCACAACGAGACAATCCAGAAATCAACTCAG